TACCTTGTCTTTTTGAACTATTCATTATAATAAACACTGCAACAAATAAGTCATTTGTTTTAGGATATTTTGATTCACAAAAAATAATTGATGATTTGTACTTGCATAGATTAAGTTATAGCTTATATAAGTAACATTTGAAGGATTTACCTAACCAAAATGAATGTGGTTGTTCAAATGTTCTGCTAAACAGTTTAGCTGTCACTTTGAGTGTTAACAACACCAATCATTGGCCGAGTAAAGTGTGCCCCTTCTTATTCCCCTTTTATTCCTCACCAGGAGAGAAGGAAGCCAGAAGGGGGCTGTGAAAAGTTTGTCTTTACTGCTATTTGGCAGAAAGTCCTCAGACAACAAGCTCTCACTCTCTCTTTCCAAACACACTGGGAGGCAGAGCCTTGTTGAATTGGCGTTAATCAGAGTTTTCCTGCTCATGTCCATGTGATTTTCTCACAACACCAACTTTGTGTTATTTTCCCACATATAACCCCCACTAATGCTTTGCCATTTTTTCTGCTAGTCTTGCATTTCAATTTCTATTTAGAAAACCCAACAAACAGCTATCTTTAGAGTGGAAATATTTTCTGTAATACTGTGCATTCACAAAATCTGGCAAAGATTACAAAACATACCAGCGGAGACACGTGGATTAGCCAAATATTCTGGGTTTGCCTGAACACAAAACAACAAGAGGGAAGACCACAGTCATTGTTTCCACACACTCAGTGTGCATTCTGTTCTTGGACTTCACTTGACACCAGAAAGCACACTTCTGTGAATCTGGAGTGTCTGTCTAAAAATAAGTGACTGGGCGGGCTGACCTCAACGTGGTGCTGCTGGACAATGCAAGCATTGAGCTGAACTCACACCTCCATTCCGGTCCACACCTTCTCTCTCAATCTCACCCTTGTAAAGGCATTCATATGTGACGAGGATAACACTTTTCATGAAACCTCATGACAAATCTTATATAATATGGGAAAATATTTTTTATGAAGGAGCAGCAGAACAGGCTCCTTTTAGTAAATCAAAACCCTAATGCCCAATGAATGTAGTCTGATTGCTGTACAAATTACTTATGAACCAGTTCTTTTTAGCAAATCAAAACCATACAGAACAATGGCTTTATCCAAATATTCAAGATTATAATATGCAAAATTAAAAATATTTGTTAAAATTAATAAAAAATATGAATAAATTAATAATTTCTGGAACAATTAAAGGGTTAGTTCACCCAAAAATGAAAATTCTGTCATTAATCACCCTCATGTCGTTCCAAACCCGTAAGATCCTTGTTCATCTTCGGAACAAAAAATTTTAATATTTTTGATGAAATCCGAGAGCTTTCTGACCCAGCATAGACAGCCATGCAACTGACACTTTCAAGGCCCAGAAAGGTAGTAAAGACATTGTTAAAATAGTCCATGTGACATCAGTGGTTCAACCTTAATTTTATAAAGCTATGAGAATACTTTTTGTGCGCAAAGAAAACAAAAATAACGACTATATTCAACAATTTCTTCTCTTCCATGTCAGTCTTCGGCACACTACAAGAGTACCACGATGCATGCGTTTGGCGCTGCTAACGCAGGAGCCAGCATTCTCATTTTTTGGGCAAACTATCTCTTTAACACACTGTGGAAGAACGTTTAAGAGGAATCTTGATCACTAAATTCTTGCAAATTCAATCCTTATAGCGTCACATTATGTCTGACATCAAGGCCCAGTTTATCAGTTTATCTACTCACAATACATTTTAATTTTCTTTTTATTAGCATATACTCCATGACACCATTTGAAAAGCTGAGTACTCATATTCATGCAGTGGGGAAAAAAAGAGACAATTTTCCCCTGTGTACTACAAGAGTTTCCACACAACCATCAGTCCTTTTCCAAACTACCTGAAACATCATTTGTGACTTATGCAAACATATTGAACACAGAGCACAGCAGTTGCTTGGTCTTTTTAATGAATGACTGATGTTTTCCTGGGTGTTTGTCTGAGAACTTTCTGTTTTCTGTCATCCCCTGCCTCCGTGACTCACTCGCTCTTCACCCCAAAGGACACTGCTACTGATCTGTAAACCACAAAAAGACATTTCTTCCTGGATGCCCACTTCAAAACGCCAGAGGACCATCGGGAAACAATTACAATTGTTGTTTACAAGGGGGACATTGACCGTGGGAACAGTCCCCTGAGGAGGACGAGGAAACAAGAGATGCAGAAACCTCAGCATATGGGCTTGATTCTGTGTGCAGAAATAATGCTTTTATTAAAATACTTCCGAATTGCAAATTTTAAAGGATGACAGGGTTAGGCTGGCAATTAGGACACAGAGGTGTCTGTGTGAACACTATCTACTTTTATCGTAAAGGCTCAAAGATGTAATAAATGCATGCAAACATCAAAATCACACATGCATACGCACACATGCATGAGTGGGACTGTTCACACCATTATGCAATGAGAGCCTTTCCGATCTGTGTCTCAGCAGCCCCCACATCTTCACATGTCCACTGAGGCGAGAGACAGCAGTTCAGCACACGCTACGTCCTCCTGCCTCCCTCTTCTCTTACAGCATTATGATTTTTGGGCCACTGGATTTCATTCCTCTCCTTGGCGGTGTCCTTTAAAAATATCATGTTTCTAAGCAGCAAGTCAAACAAAATAAAAAGGCAGGCAAGATCATATGAGATAGCATCTCTTTCTTGGCAAGGTAAGTTGCATACTGTCACGCTAATGGTAACCTTCATGGCCTGCGAAGGCTTTCTTCATTAGATGAATGGCCGCTCTATTGATTTCATTCTCACTGGCTTGATTCACTGTTTAAGAGGAACAAATGTGCAAATCATCTCAAGCTAAAATGTAAATTGATTTGCAGATAACTGGTTGCATATTAAAGTAGAAAATCATTTCATCAGGTTAAAGATCTACAGACTTTTACTACAACGCCACCTGGTTATATCAAGCCGTGCTAACTGTTAAAAATAAGCGAGGTGGTTTTCAAACTTATTCACACTGATTTTAAGTCAGTATGAGGACAAAAGAACCTGGAGCTTACTGGACTGTGCTCAGCTGGTGTCTATCTATCTTCGTCCGCCCTCTGTGTTATCTCACTCTTGCACAAAGAGAATCTTCCTGGCATTTGAATGGACGGGCCGTGCCAACGCCCTCCGGGTCTGTCTGCTTCACACCAAAGTGCAATTCACCTCATCAGCTCAAAGCCTTGGGATTTCAAGCCAAGCATGCCACATGACACCGCCTCCCCTCTGTAGACATTCTGATAGCTGATGTCATTCTGATTCTTGGTGAGAAACAAGTTAAAAGATACTGGATAAAACAAGTAAACCAATGCAGTGCAAAGTTTGGAATGCTTATAAAGTCTGACCATGGAAATAGCAGTCTGGTGAGTCACACTCATGGATATCAGTCTCTCTGGCTGAATCTTCCAGACACCTGCTTAGTAGGTAACAGTACTATGCTGTACTTTTGGTCAGTAAGAGTTCCTACTTCTGCAGGGCTCAACAATAAGAACTGCTCACTAGTCTGGAGCCAGTAAAAGTTTGAGGCTAGTTGAAAGAATGGTCTACAAAACAATCACTAATGCATCACATGCAAACGTTTCCCAGCAAAAATTAGTTCATGAATTTAGTCAAAGTGCACTAACGTGGGGTCAGTAAGGTTTTCATTTTTTTTGGAAAGAAATTCATACTTCAGAATTGAGGACACATTAAATTGAAAAAAGTTACAGCAGACATTTATAACATTACAAAAATTTCAAATAAATTATTTTGTTCTCTTGAAATATCTATTAATCAAAAATAAAAAATATACACCAATGATTCCCAAAAAT